GGTCAAAAGGTTTCCGTGTTCGGTGACTTCATGCATCAAAATGCGAGCCATGTGCGTATGCTGGTTGGATTTTCCCCCCTCCGAGTCGTACGTATGCAGGATCAGGTATGGCGGTGGCGACTTGTCGCTGATTCCGCGATTGTCGCGTGCTTTCAGGTAGAGTGTGATGGCATTCGGGAACTCGCGTGTTGACAGTTTAACCATGATGTATTCAACAGTACGAACACTGCCGATCCCACAATGCGTAACGGCGTGTCTCAGAGCGCAGTTTAATAACGATAAGAATAATCACTTTGTCAAATATCCTGCACAAAGCCCTCCTCGTGACACGTGTGAACACTCAGTTGAGGCCCTCCCGGCCAAAACTTAAGGTATTGACGTAAATACAATCAATGCTCCGACTCTAGATTTAAAGCTTTCGTGACTGCTAGGATCCATACTCTTTGGTTCTATTGGGTAAAGTCACGTAGGTGAAAATAAAATAACAAAAAATCACGACGTTTCGGCCACAACACAAGCGGCCAACATGGACTAGACCCCGACACACCTGCACTGGTTAGGCACTGCCTCAACAATACCTACTTTACTTGGAATGGCTCCTTCTACAAACAAAATGAGGGTACCCCCATGGGATCCCCCTTATCACCAGTGATAGTCAATATTTTCATGGAGAAATTTGAATCAGACGCCTTCCAGACTTCCACCCTCAGACCTTCCCTGTGGAAGAGATATGTGGATGACACTTTCGTCATTTGGCCACATGGCCTCCCAGCTCTGAACCTTTTCCTACACCACATCAATTCCAGACATCCCGCCATCAAATTCACCATGGAAGTGGAGAAAGATGGCAAGCTACCATTCTTATATGTTCTGTTTGAGAGGAGACCTGATGGCTCATTGGGGCATTCTGTCTACAGGAAACCCACCCACACAGATTCCTACTTGAAACCTGATTCCCACCACCACCCAGCCCAAAATAATTATCTCATCAAAACTTTATACCATAGGGCTCATTGCATTTCGGACCAACACCACCTGACCAGTGAATTAAAACATGTACACCTGGCCCTCAAAAGGAATGGTTACTCTGACCGTACCATCCGCCAAGCTGTCTCTCCCTCCATACAGAAACAACCACTTGATACTCCAGTCAAAACCATCACACTTCCATATATAGCAGGCGTTACTAAAAAGATTTCCAAAATTCTAAACAAACACAAGATCCAGGCCCGGTTCAATACAGTACACAAAATTCGTGATCTGATCCCATCCGTGAAGGATGTCATTCCTGATTTACAGTACCCCGGGGTTTACAAATTGAGTTGTACCTGCAGTGATTGCTATATCGGTGAGACAAAGCGACATGTCTCTGACCGAATTCGCGAGCACAAATCAGATTTGAAACACGGCAAAACGAATTCTTCTGCCGTGGGGGATCACGATATAATTTTCTCCGATACCAAGGTTCTTTGCAAACCCACGGGCTTTTATCAGAGATTTGTTCATGAAGCAATTCAGATCTACAAACACAGACACAATTTTAACCGAGAGGATGGATTCAAATTAAGCAACCATTGGAAAGATGTTCTAAATCGAACTAAACATTAAACTAATTTCAATGGTACAGTATATTTTTCAAGTAGTGGTACCCCAAACTTTCGCAGCTCCTATAAATTCCCTTTTCACACCATCAATAGGTAAACTCCCCCTCCCCCCCTTCCCCCCCCGCGCCAAACGGCAAGTCCACCGGCACGTACACCACCTCTTTCCTAAAATCCGCCAATCAAATGCAAATTTTTATGCTAATTTCTTTGTCAGAACACCTTGTTTGCTCGCACAGAGTTTAAAGGTCCGCTGTCTGAGCGTGGTTGTGTTTTGCTAAATTCTCCTGTTTGATGAGTACTAGGTGCCTCGGTGAATGTATATGCTCCGACTTTAACATAGCTATTTCTGTGACCAGTTACAAGCTAATAACTCAGCTATTTCAATGCTAAATTCTATGCTAATTCCTTTGTCAAGGGGTACCTCTGCGGATGTGTATACTTTAACTTAGATATTTCAATGAGCCATTTCAATGCTAAATTATATGCTAATTCCTTTGCCAAGGCGCTTTGTGTTTTTCTTCTCACACAGCTTAAAGGTCGTGATCTAAGCGTGGCTTCTCCCACTCCAGCGCTGTCCTCCAGACAGTTTCGTCCCTTCACCTGATGAAGGCCGCTTGTGTTGTGGCCGAAACGTCGTGATTTTTTGTTATTTTATTTTCACCTATGTGACTTTACCCAATAGAACCAAAGAGTATAATGCTCAGACTCTTCATCAATGGCAAAGGGATTTAGAGGCCATGATAATAAATTCAATTAATGCCACCAAACCCATGGCAGCTTTCCATAAAATCCTGCACCTGCTACTGCAGGTACGACATCTCGACTAGCATCGTGTGTTCAGGGCTCCAAATCGAGCGCCACCCCCTGGGGTTGCCACCCCAATGCCCACCTCAGGCCCATGCACACAACGTTCCTCATCCATCACGACGACCCCCCTCACCCTCTGCATGGTCGACATCAGGGGTAGCCAACCTGTAACAGACCAAGAGCCAAAAAGGAGCCTGGAGTTCTGCAAAGAGGCAAGTGTGTGCATATGCAGTTTTCGTCACACCACGGGAGACATTATTCTTTGCTACCGTGATAGTTCTACGTTACACCCCTTCGATAATAATAATTCAAATGTAGAATGCGCATTCCATCCTAGGATCCCAATGCGCAATGCATGGAAAGCAAAAAAACTAAAACATAACCAGCAGGGCAACCGGACAAAGTAAAGAGGGAATCTTGATTTGAAGCTTTCATGACTGCAGGAATCCATATCCTTTGGTTCTTTCAGTAAAGTCACGTAGGTATAAAATAAAATAAAAAAATAATATATCACGACGTTTTGATCGCAACACAAGTGGTCGTCCTCTGGCAGAAAAAAATCTCTCCCATTAACACAACTGACGTGCTTGCGTCCGGGGATGGAATTCCTTTCCAGCTCAGACCCCGCTTGCTTGCCCATCGCCACATAAATAACCTCTTGTTGTAACAGCTTTCTCGCTGGTTCAGCTCTTCCACTGCTGGATTATTTTTTCCACTTGAGGACGACCGCTTGTGTTGCGATCGAAACGTCGCGATTGATTATTTTTGGTTTTATTTTATTTTTCTGCCTACGTGACTTTACCGAAAGAACCAAAGAGTATGCTAAAGAGGGAAGGCCACTTTAAAGAGATGGGTTTTCAAAGCAGACTTAAACATATCTACAGACTGAATTCCAGCCGCATGTGGTGGATTAAAGAGCCAGATGTGGCTCAGGAGGCACCAGCTGGCCACTGCTGGACTACATTCTCTTCGAATGTCTTTATTAAATGCCAAGATCTCCCACCTGTAGTGATAGACATAACATTACTCCTGCCGCAACCCGATTCTCTCACGTTAAACTCGGACCTCTCCTCCAAGCGGTTTAAATGGTTTACGGCAAGGAAACATTCGCCCTGCTAACGCAGCCTCCCGTCCGCTGCGAAACCTCCTTCCTGCCTTGCGCACATTCAAAACACGCGAGGGTCCTCTTCTCTCCGCCCTCGTCTCGCTCTCCGTCTGGTCGCAGGCGATGAAGCGCCTCGCGTCGAGCGCACGGCGCCTGGAGGCGGTTTTCGGCACGCGAGCTCCCCTGGGGGCGAGGGACAGCGAGTCCGGCAGCACCAGCCGCGTGCGCCGCTCAAGTCGCTGCGACTCAAAGCCACGCAACTGCGCACAGTCGCAAAGATTACAACAACAAAATAAACCCCCCCCCCCCGACCCCCACCAAGTTACGAACATTGCTCGTTTGGCCCAAAGTTTCCCATCACTTTTGCTAACAAGTGAAAATGGATAAGGGATGTGGGTGTGATCGCGTAAGTATAAATGTGTCGTAACCCTCCAAGCATTTTATACAATTGCAGAACATGCTTGCCAACAAGGTCATTCAATTGATTTTGATAACGTTGAAGTGTTGTGCAAGACTAATAATTAATTACTGGCCGAGACTAATTCGAGAATTTATTGAAATTGAGAGAAATATAAACACTTTTAACCGCTCCGACAGCTATAATTGTATTCCTTGTAAAGGCAACACATGCTAATCAACTGTGATTAACAATCCATGGCTGTATATCCATAATACAGGTTTTTTTAGTTGGATCACGTAAATGTGTCTTTAAACCCTCTACCACCCGACAGCCAACTCGTAACGTTTGTCACTTACACAGAACATGCCAATTTTTTACTAGTACAGCACACCTATGTGTTGGAGAGCAAATCCACAACATTAACAATGATTTACATTTAAACTTTTACAAATGTTGTGTATTTGCTCTCCAACACATCGGCGTGCTGTACTAGTAACAAATTGGCACGTTCTGTTTACGTGACAAACCTTGCTAATTGGCTGTCTCGGGTGGTGGCAGGTCTAACGACACATTTATTTTTTCGCGCTTTAACCCCCCCCCAAAAAAACCTACATTATGGATGACAGTGGTCATCCATAATGTAGGTTTACAATAAAACCCCCTCTCTGCTTTCCGTCCCTGATTGGCTCACAGCGATAACGGTCACCCTGCTGCTTCTCTCTTTAATACCGGAAGCAGGTGGATGGCTTCACTCTTCTGGCGAACAGCCCGATGGTGCTGGCTGATGTACTTACCAGCGAACCGTCACGGTACATCTCAAATTGTAAATGTTGTGGATTTAGTCTCCAACACACCGGTGGGCTCAAGTAGTAAACTACACTATACACTACACACCACACTATATACTATACACTACACTAGTGATTTGCGCGTTCTGTTTACGTGACAAACCTTACTGGCTGTGTTGGGTGGTGAAGGGTTACGACACACTTACGCGGTCGAACCAAAAAACCTTTCTAAATAATATTGGTTGGCGAAAGCCTGCTGCGTGTTAGAGCGAAAAGGAGCTATTCGTGCAAAAATGCATGGTGAAAATATAAAATAAACACGTAAAACAGCTGTTGTGAAAAAACACGTGTGTTGTTTTTTGTCTGAGCATTTCCAAAACGCACCGCGCACTGGTGATAAAACCAGCGAATAAGAACAAATGACGAACGAGATAAATGTTGTACCGTGAATAAGAACGACCCGACTCGCTCAATATGTTTCGCCTTGACTTTGATAAAAGCGAATAAATTGTCTGTGAGAGTAGCTTCAGCTCCTCGGACTGAAATTTGCACCAATCGCAAGCATTTCTCAGAGGGATAGAGTCCGCAACAACAACGTTTTACTCAGTACAATATCTTTACAATTCAGTTTCAGAGTAAAACATTAGTTCAACATCAGGCTCAGGAAACAGAAACGCTTTCAAAGTTGGAAGAAACCCCAGCCGCCCCCCCCCTCTGAAAGCCCCACCCGCCCGTGCAGCAAGGGACGTTTCCACGACGTCACAGAGACCGCGAGCGCGTGACTCGTGACTCAGAGGGCGTTGACGAGCGCCCCCACCGCCACCATCGTGAACACACAACTGTTCAATAGAGGTTCATCGCACAAGGATGTCACATTACACAATTCAGTAACTGAATAACGGTAAATCAGGATTGCTTTGAAAGCAACGGGTAAAAATACACGTACATTTTTTAATTCACTTATGGTAATCATAATGAAAACACGAACATATATTACTTTTGTAATTGCAGTAAGGGTTCTTTTTAAAGCATTAAACCGGACGGCTTGGTAAGAACCTCGCACCAGTAACCATATGCACCAGTGGCATACGCGCGGATACCAAAATCCCATCGACATCTCAGAAACGAGTAAAAATGCCCTCCCAACGTTCTACGCAGAAATCGTGCAGCCAACGGTAAAAAACTTCTACAAAAGCTAATTACATTCAAGCCGCATACGAGGAAGTTAAAAACTCGTAAAGTTGAAAAATAATACGTTTGTTTACACAGAGCACAGCCAAGTTGCGCGCCCAGACGCCGGTGGCGGCACCCAGCGCCGTCAGCCGCTGTGCTCCACGTCCACGCCGCCGCCGACGCACAGCCCATAGGGCACGTCGAGTGGCGCCGAGCCCGGCTCCTGGAAGGCGAAGCCCCCCCGCAATTGCCCCGTGAGCAGCTCCGTGTACGTCTGGGGCCTCGCGTGGAACTCGCCGCCGCCCCCGCCGAGGAACGCCTCTCCCACGTGGTGCTGCTGCGTGCGGTGCTGTAGGTGCTGATGGTGCACGTGCGGTCGCTGCTGGCGGTGGTGAAGCTGTCGGAAGACGTGCGGCGTCTCCGTGCCGGCGCTCTGCGGACGTTCGGGCGTCCCGCGCGCGAGGCTGGCGCCGGGCCCTTCCTCTCCGAGCGCGCACGACGAGAGCGGCGGGCGCGGCGGCACGCAGGCGACGGCGTACGTCGGCGCCGCCGCGTGCCAGCCGTACTGCTCGGCGGGCTGCGTGCGCTTGAGCGCCGCGTCGATGGTCGCGAGCGCCCGGTCAAGGACGTTGATTCCCTCGTCGCCGTCGCCGTCGCCGCCGCCGCCGCCGCCGCCGCCGCGGCGGCCGCCCGGAACCCCTCCCCGCGTGGCGTCCGGCCCAAAGAGGGAGAGGCTGCCCCGGTAGGCGGGCGCGGCGAGCGGCGGCTCGGGCTCGCCGACCGGGCAGTAGCCCGTGGGCGCCGCGTCGTAGCTGGCCGGCGACGCCGGGTAGAAGTAGGGCACGAACGCCGGAATGGCTTCCGGCTTCACCGGCGTCGGCGGCGACGTCACGAGCTCCGCCGGCTTCCGTGGCTCTGCAGGACGAAGCGAACGTTTCTTTTAACGCTTTTGAAAAAACGAGGTCGCGTAACAAAAAAACAACCACCGTCGTGAAAGCGGCATGTCGCCTGGCGCGCACGCCGCCAGACTCGGCGCGCGTTCGACGCTCTACCTTTGTGCTGCTGCAGCTTCACTTTGAGCCGGCGTCGCGTCTCGTTGCACGTGGCCACCGCCGACTCTCCTGGGTTCGACAGCAAAGCAGAGGCGAATTTAAGTTTAAACGTTCGTGAGATAAGAATCACTTCTGACGGGGCGTTTGAGAAATGTTTTCAAAAGTTGGCGTTTCGGCTGGGCGACCCGTGGGGCTCCCGATCAGAGCGGAGAGTCTTGTGACTGCCGGGGGAACTCACCGTTCTGCTCACACCAGCTTCCCTGGGAGGCTTCCGCAGCACAGCTCTGAAAGGCCGAATGCTTCTTCTTGCGCTTCTGCTGCAGGTGGTGAGGATCTGCGATTTGAAATGTTGAGGTGTTTTCAGTGATTGATATCCGATTTCAACAAATTAAGAGGAACATGAAAAATAATAAAAAATATATAAGACACGTTTTTAAAAGACGTCCTAGTTATGGGTATATATGGCACCGCGGCCGTCACGACGCAGAACAATGATGCCGCCTGTAGTGCAGGAGGCAACCTCATTTCTGAAAAGCGTCTGTATGCACTTTGTGCGTACAGCAATTATTTTTTTGTTACTAAATCAGCAATGGTATTTAGAGCTGTGAAGAGATAATGAAATTTGCTGGCATTAGCAGAACCATTTATACACCCTGGCGAATTCCTCATCGCCGGTCACTTCCCCTTTTGCTTGCCGTGAAAAGAACAAATGCCCAATTGTTTCCACATTGGCCTCCTCAAATGCGGACTATTTCCCCTCCTCTCCGACGTCCGCACGAAAGCCGAGGCCGACGCGTGTGCAGGGGGCGACGACCAGCTAGCCGGACGATGACCGGGCCCCCCCCACCCCCCGCCCCTCCCCCCTCCCTACCATACCAGCAGCTGGGGAAAGTCGAGGCAGAACCGATGGGCCCAGAAATTTTATGGAATTCAGAATTTTGGACTCGATTTTATTTTAACAGGGCCCACGGAAAAATGCAATTCTCAGCCTATATAGTCAAGTGAGTACAAAATCTGTACGGATTATATGGCTGGGATTCTCGCCACACGACTGGGATTTTCCCCATCCGATATGGATACTTTATTCACAGGTAAGAGCAATACGCGCATTTCCCGATTTCGGTTGCGCAATCACGGTCGCCCACAGCGGTGTTTCCCAACCTCACGGCTACTCCCACGGGAAACAGGTTTCTACGACGACCACCGTCGGATGCATTGACGGCGCAGTGGCTTAATGTGCATACCAGTGTGGTGGGTCACAATGACATACGGAGGGAGCTGCCCCACTGTCACAGGGCCAACGAAAAGAGATGCCAACCACTGCCGCCACAGGGCCTGCCCGAGGCGCCGTGACGGAATGCCGAGTCTGGCACCTGGCTCGCGAGATTCCTCGGCGTGCTGCAGGCCGGGGGCTTTCCCAAAAACCAGTGCTCGTGACCCATCGAGGTTCGCGGCTCCACGTTGACCAATCGTCCCCAGCCCAATTCGAATGAGGTCGCCACGCACGACACGTGTCTCAAGACCATTCGACGGCAGCCTCGCGTGACGTGGACAGCACCGATTAAAATTACGAGCGCCGTCAAAGTCGAGCGAGACGCACTCGAGGCCTGCACCTTAACGTGTGCACGTCAAACGCGCGACGCCTTCGGTAATCATCGAGCGCGCGTGCAGCGTCTCAAAAGGACTTCGTTTGCAATCGAAGGGAGAAAATTTGTCGGAGCGGAGAAGCAGGCTTCGTCAACGGTGGGTCGCGACGACCGCAGCCGACGCTAAATAATTCGGCCTCCGGCGCGGCAAACATCGGCGCCGTGTCCTCGCACGAGCCTCGGCCTTCGTGTCGATGCCGGCCCCCCGCCCCCCTCACCGGTGTCGACGGGGGTGTAGTGGAACTCCAAGGGTTCGCTGGTCTCCCCGTCCGAGGGCCGCAGCAGCTGCACGCGCACGCACACAGGCACGGCCGTGTGCCCGTCGCGGTACGGCGGCGTGCGGAACACAATGGCCACCTGCCGGTGCACGTCGGTCTGCGAGAAGACGCCCTGCGCCTCCCAGGCGTCCTCGTCGAAGAAGCGTACCGCGATGTCCTCTGCGTTACGTGAGAGGGAGCCAACGACGCGCGCGCGTACCACACACCGTGCACACACCGTGCACACACCGTGCACACGCACACACGCACCACACACCGTGCACACGCACACACACCACACACCGTGCACACGCACACACGCCGCACACACGCCACAGACCATGCTCACACACCACACACACACCAGACCGCGCACACACACCACACACCACACACCATGCACACACACCACACAACGTGCACACAGACACACCACGCACAAACAAGGATGGAAATAAGATGAGAGGGATGCATAAGTGGATACATAATCGATAATTTCATGTAAATTACAGCTCTATGTCAATCCACTGTTGGACGAAGGCTTCCCCATGCCGTGTCAGTTATGGGGGTAGTTTGACCGTATTTGCCTACACTGATAAGTATTCGGGGTTGGTCAACGGGGGGCCAGGGACCGGCTCAGATGTCACTCGGCGATATCTCAACAAATTCTGGGCCCCACTTCCCTTTGCCAACCCGCACTGACCAGTGTGGTGCAGTACGGTCAAACAACTCCACGGTCGCCATGACGCGGGCTTCGTCCAGCAGACGCCTGACAAAGAGGCTGTAAATCATAACTCGTAAATAATAACTCTTATATTTTCCTATTGTAGATCAGCTATAAGCATCTGTAAGATTCGAGGTGATCATTGTTAATGCTCGACATTCACTAACAGAGTTTAAACATAGCATCGCTGCAGGCCGTTCGGTAGCAAATGAATCAAGATAAGGGTTTCACCGGAAAACTGCGGTAAATGTTTCTACAGTGTAAATAAAAACACATTCATGGCAGCACTTCTAAGAACTCGTCATTTCTGCGACGTTATACGCGTGCAACAACTCAACTTTGTTTGACATGCATATTTGGAACGAGTTATCTGGCCGACCCGTAGCTCGGCTGTGCGGGTAGATTCACGCGAGCGGCTGAGCGAGCGATGGTCTCACCTTTTTGGACCTTGTCACACAGGATGTAGCGCTCGTCCCCCCCTGCCGCGCAGCCCGAGTGCTCGTTCAGACGGATGATCTTGAGCTCCGACGTGTTGCACCCCTCTGCACACGGACGCCGCACGGCAAGTTGACGGCCCTGCGTCGCGCCCGTTCGCGCGCCTGTTCACGCGCGGTGCGGCGGCTCCCGCCGACGACCGACTCCTGCGGCTGCCTGTCCCTCCTATAGAGCGTTCCATTTGCACTTTCTGCCGTAACGTGGCCTCGACTCCATCTCTGGCCTGTAGCATCCTACCTGCGCTTCGGATCAGGGACGGCCACCTATGGCTCCTTGACTTGAGGTCTGCGGCCGCACGAAGCCGAGCAGCACCTCAAAATCACCCAACTTGTATATTGCTCAGTCACCGAGAGCACCTCGCCTGCACTAACCAGGTTTCAAAACACGATGCGGTCCTCCGTAGGAAGATGGCTCCCCCCACCCCTGCTCTGGATGTAAGTGACATTTTCCTCCGTGGCTGTGTATAGACGTTTTATAAATTCAAATTATAGCCTTCAAACACATTCCTACTGCTACACGTCACTAGCACTGACACGCTGCAAGCAGTAACTCACCGCTAGAACACATCAAACAACCACCTGCCAGAAAACACCACTCCTCTTTATATGGCGGTGTTTGACAACGGTGGCGTTTGTGATTTCTTTTGCAGCCTGTACTGTGCAAATATAAATATAATGATTAATATAAAAGCGTTCAAAAGCCCCTCCGATACTGTTTGAAAAGCGACACTACTTGAGCCCCAACTCCAAACTGAACGCACAATTGCTTACAGGCCCCACACACACGAGCACGTCGCGCTCCTCGCTTCCCATCCACGCGAACATTTCCGACGGCGATAAAAGCTTCGTCCCCGTGTTGTTATTGGTGTCGGTCTCGCCACCTTTTCACAAATTTCATTTGTACGCCGAGATATACCCACACAGTGGAATTCCGGCAAGTGACTAAATGGAGCCATGAGCGCTTTCGAAGTAATCAAGATTGCGCGGCAACAAATAACACATTTGAGACGGACATTTCCGCGCGGTGCCGCCACACGAGGCGCACAGCGGCACTCCGGCGCTCAAGCAGGCGCCCGCGCGCAGGAGAGAAACAAAACCCGGGCCGTGTGCGGACAGCGGCAGTCGCCCCGCAGGCCCGGCGACGCGTGCGTGCCGGGCCCGGTGGATGATGCGGCGATCGGCGATAACGACGCCCACGGGCGCCAGGTTCCCTCTCTGCCGCCCTCCGACGCTGGTAAATATCGCCAAGCGCGTGGGCACTTCCAGGTTTGTAATTTTTTTTTCTGTAATCGGACATCACGATACATAACCGTGTGTTCGGTTTTGGCCGCAATTATTGAGAATCCGGCCATATCGAAGAACTGCCGACTTATTGTAATCGTACAGCACGTATACCGAGTGCGATGAAAAATAGATGTCAATAATTCCTATTATTAAAAGCCACCCCCACCGTCTGGGGGTTGATCATCAAATGTATGATGCAACAGTAATTTAATTTGTAATGTGTGCAATATTTCACACACACAAGTGATCATGAAGCACGGCTAAAAATAATACGTTGTGATAAGTTGAAAATGCCTGTCCTATATACAGCCTTGTCCTTGCCATGTGAATGTGGAATTTACACCAGTGGCTCAGGGATGCTAATGGAGAGGAGTGTCGTCCTTGCCCGTTTGACAAGGCGAATGCCCCCCGGGTGCCTTCCGCGCGAGAGCCGAGGCTCTCAAAGTGCTCTTGTTCCAAGTGATGAATCGGAGATGGAGCCTTGAACCTCGCTCAAGGCAACACTTCAGCAGATTTAAGCCTGGCTAATGCTCGGCCGGAGGAGCCACCCGGCAGCACCAGGGGCCACAGACGGCCTCCAGGATGACAGGGGTCCGCACGCCGAGCGGGCGGGCGTGAGGAGGAGGAGGAGCGGCCGTGAGCGACTCACTCTTGTCGTAGATCGGGTTGGAGACGACGGGCGGCAGGGCCTTCACGATGGAGCCGTGCGAGTTGATGAGGAAGGCCTCGAAGCAAAACCGCACGGCGTTGAGGTCCAGGCCCTCCATCTCAAATGCCAGCGCGCCCACTGTGAGCACAGGGGGGGTAAACACACAGGGGGTACATGGGGGGTACACACATAGGGGGTACACACACAGGGGGTACACACACAGGGGGTACACACACAGGGGGTACACACACAGGGGGTACACACACAGGGGGTACACACACAGGGGGTACACACAGGGGGTACACACACAGGGGGTACACACACAGGGGGTACACACAGGGGGTACACAAACAGGGGGTACACACACAGGGGGTACACACACAGGGAGTACACACAGGGGGTACACACAGGGGGTACACACAGGGGGTACACACACAGGGGGTACACACACAGGGGGTACACACACAGGGGGTACACGGGGGGGGGTACACACACAGGGGGTACACACACAGGGGGTACACACACAGGGGGTACACGGGGGGGGGGGGGGTACACACACAGGGGGCACACGTCAGGTCAATCGGAATCAGCATCGGTGGATTGATATTCACGGAACATAACGGACGGACTCGGCAAATCAACCTTCATTGGAAATGGGCGCGATGCCACAGGTCTGGAAATGTCCCCGCTCCAGTCGGAAACGCCAACCTTGGTCTGGTTTTACAAATCACCAGGGCATTATGCTTGTGGTCATGACGATGCCATTTATGATAAAAACCATAAATGAATACCACTACAAAGTATTATTATTACTCAAGATGCACTCGCATGCTAATCTCTGCTCTGAAAAGGCCAGACATGATCAAAACCGTTTCATAAAATCTGCAATTGAGCAGCTGTGACGTACGTAGACAATCCTACCTCACTGGAATTTTATGATTTGATGGGATTTCTTGAAAGCCCAGACGCAAAAAAACTAAATTAAGGCAACGCAATACGATTTTGGACAACGTGTGCATCAGGATGCTGGCGAAAACCGCCAAGGCGATTTCCATCGTGTCGTCATCGCTCCACTGGCGCTCCTCGGCAGGCTCACCGTTGAAAGGGTCGATCTTTTGTTTGGTGACCCTCATTCGGATGGCGCTCATGATGTCTTTCCGCTTGGCGCACTGGATGCCCAGGTTCTGGAATCTGGCGTCACAAAGCGTGGGCGGGCGAGAGCACAGGCCCTGTCAAGGAGCGCGACGATCGCAGCACTTCAGACGAATGAAACGCGGCAGATCGCGGAGATAACGACGCCGCGTACTTAAAATAAAACGATAGAAGTGGCGGCGCCGCCGCCACAGCCTTCACGTTCTCAGTTGAATGCGTCCCAGTCCCTCGATAAATACGGGTGGCTGGGACGGGCAATCGGGCAACCGCAACGCCACGCCGCCCGGGCCCCCTCCTTTGTGTAACCGAGCCGACGGCCCGGTTGGCTCCACCTCGCGGTCCGGTCCCGCCCTTGAGCCCCTGCCACCACTTTGCGCTGCTGCACGTGCCCAGCGTCTGCTCTCGAGCAGTTTGAGGTGGAATTGGGCAGCGAGAGCCATTTTCTTTTGCTAAAAGCATTTCTTTGTGCAAAGTGCCATGGTACGTGTGCGTGCGTGCGTGGTATTTATTGTAAACGTGGCCCTCACTCAAAACTGTTCATTTTAATCTGTGGACATTCCCCGTGAGATGCAGTGACGGTAATAACAGAGACGATCGCAGTCAGACAAGCGGCGCTACGCCAACAGAAGTAACGCAGTGGCAACACGGCGCGCTTCAGGTACAGGACTCTCTCGCTCTCTCGAGGGACATGTCACCTTGGCTTGTTCTCGATGGAAGAGGTAGATGTATACCCACGCTTTACCCCACCATCATTGACCTATCAACTCGTTGCAGTGCAATCTATGTGCTGCTAAGTGGTCGGCCGATGAACGCGCCGCTGCTGCAAGTTGGCCTTGAGAGCGCCGATAGATCCCATTGTCAACGAAGGGGGCAACAACCGCGAGGCTGCTCCATCAAGGATAAACGCGTCATCTGGTAACCGCGAGCAGAGGTAACGTGAGACTCTCGTCCCCGATGGAGCCGATGCCGCAAACTAAGCGACGAACATTAATAATTAGATCTCCTCTTTGCCAGTACCAAAATATAATAATAGGAGTTTTCCTTTTTGTTCTGGCAACAAAACCGAAACCTTTTACAAGGACTCATGTCTGCGTTAACCACAATACTTGTGGTCAAAATGCATTTAAAAAACACACACTTTGATAATATATGCATTGTCCTTGAAACTGATTGGTCCACACCAGGGACAGCTTTCTTTTGAGCCTCGACCCAATTGGTGCTAGACCAGAAGACGCCAAAAGGCGTACAGCTCAAAGACAATGCACTATCAAAGTAATGAGGGCTCGGGGTGAGCATCTACATCATTAGACCTCCTGTGCGAGTACCAAAATATAATAATTAGGTTTTCCCCCTTTTTTCTGGCAACAGAAAAAAGGGGAAAACCCCTATTATTACGAACATTAATAAGGCAAAGTTTCTGCTGTGGTCCGGGAGGGTCCAGCCGCCTGCCTCACGGCGCATTCACCTGGGACGTGCGCACGCTCACGAGATTTTACGCGTTGGTTTTGATTGTATTTAACCTTTAAAGTTAAACGGTAAAAGTACTTATTTATGTTTTTTTTCTCTCTCCAAACTTCTACCGTCTGGAGTCCCCGAGTGCGGCTCCGGTTGCTCCATTGTCCCGGCCGGGCCGCCGCCAGCCATCGCCAACTTCCGAATTCAGTTGAAGGCCCTAGGCCGTGCCGGGGTGCTGCCCTCCCCTCTCCCGCGTGTCTCTGCCCCCATCTCCCCCTCTGCCCTCACGTCGTCTCTCGCTTATGCAGAACGTCGCGAGATGCTGTTGCATTAGACAATACGTAAACAGAAGCTGTTATTCTTGCAATGAAGCTTCTCCGTTTGTGGCACGGCTCGTCGTTTGTGTGGACGAGCACGCTGCTCGTGCTCGTGTAGTATCACAACACATTTACAGCATGCCATCTACAAACAGAAGTATTTTTAGAGAGCCACATCAATAATATTGACTGCTTGCAGAGTATAGATATCAAAGCCTTATTATTTAGGCCACTTTCATGCGTCGCTGCACTCGGGCAATCCATCACCGAGAGGTCGCGTTTCTGCGAGTTCAGCAAAAACTCGCTTGCGTTGGGCTTCATAGAGCTGTTGCCGCTTCTGCTGCACGACCTCGTGTTTCCGAACTAGGGCCGTGGGTGTTTGAGTACGAGGCGTCCCAGCCCCGAACTCAGGTCAGCGTTACGCAGATGCGGTGGGCAGCGCTGCCAAAAAAGCCATGTCGAGCGCCCACGACCATAAAACTGCACCGAAGCCCACAGCTGTTCCATCATTCGGCCTTTCCCAGCAAGAATCCCATTTTGCTGAAACACCGCAAAGAGTCTAGGGAGAAGGAAGGCGGGGGAGTGAACACTCCACATCGACGGACGTCCTGTCCAAATTTCCTTAGAGAGAAAGCAATACCTGGAATCCTTCCAGAGGAGCACTTTACAGGAAATGATGAATTCGTACAATTAAAGAGCTGTTTCCCACATTGACCCCCAAAACTCTGCTCGTGGATGGAAGCCTCTGCCAGCAGCGTGTTGAGCACTTTCGCCACTCGTGCACCACTTTCGTGGAGAACGGCCAAAATGGCAAACAAATATTGTATTTGACAAGTTGGGAGAAAATATAAGTGCCCAGAGAAATCGCACAAATAAGCGAGAGACAATACTCAAGAATGTGCACAGCCATCACAGAAATATTCAACTTTCTGTGCTGCCATTTTGCATCTCACATCTCAACAGGAGTTTTGGTCTCTCAACACAAAGTCACTTTTGCAAATGAGACTAGTCTGCTCTCTATTTTATCACATAGTTAAACAAATTAAACTTGAAACAGACTATCCGCAGGGTCCAGGGACAACACATACAAAGGCACGTATTACAGGCGTCCATCGCCGCTCGCGGAAACCAACGTTTTCCGCCAACACATATCTCAGACGGTGGATCCTTGAATCTTCCCCCCCATGCTGCCGGTCCGTGCGCACGCCGTGCATCAGCATGTGTGCCCGTGATGGCTCACGATGAGGGAGATGAGCCGTGATGGTGGCGATGGGCATTGCCATGATGGGCAGCGACGAGGTGTGATGGGGGTGCGACGGGCCGCGACGAGCCGCGGCGGAGCGAGTCCTTACTGAACGCGGAGGTCGGGGGGCTCGAGCGTCGCCTGGAAGATGCCGTCGTTGCAGTCGGTTCCGACGAGCGCGTGCGGGTGAGGCCGGTACGGCTCCTCCTTGCTGACGAGCGACACGCGCAGGAGAACGCGCTCGCTGTAGTTCTGCACCTGCAGTGCGCAAACGCACGCGCGGGGGAACGAGAGGACGTGCTTGGCGCGAGCGCGGACGTTGCAGATCGCATCCAGGTTTCCTGCCTCCCTCGCGTTGAGAAGAAGAAATGGACATTTGGATCTTTCGTGGAGAGCAGCGTACCACTTTGAGAGCAGCCGTGGAATATAATGGCCACGGAACCACCGCTAAAGTGGCTTCAGTAGTCCTCTCTATCCACACAAGGGGCACATCATGCTGTACCTGCCCTCCAGTGTTCGTCACGTGTCTATCGCGGTATTACTCAGAGCTGGAATACCAAATTAGAAAAGGTAAATGATTGTGATGGTCTTTTTATTTTGCGCAGTGATTGGTGACCGAGCTGAGATCACCAACTTGAACCCCGTTTAATCACAGGCAGCCAAAACCTGGATTTGACCCCAGGATCTTCGAGGCGCTGTTTCGGTGCCCCGATCGGCAGGACACCTGGCCACCTCGGCGCATTTACCTCTTACTCAACGAAAGATATGTACAGTTTAACACGTAGGCTTTCGCGACCAATGTTATCCATAATGTATTCTGGACATGCATTACAATTGTGTTATTGACATCACCTCATGAGAGGAAGACATTCGAATGAGACAATGAATTATAAAATAAGAATTTTTATATTTTCTCAGAGAATGGTCCTGGAAGGGGACTTAAAATACACGACACATGACGATTTGGATTTGCACAGCTTCTGAATGCGAGTGCATCTCAATGCACCATGCAGAACAGTGGGCATGTTTGTTTTTATCGAAAGCGAGAGCCGTACGCAGAGGCAGAAAGAGTAAGATCTTGGAGCCTGGACTTGATCAGGGACAGGCAGGCAGGCGACAGCTAGGACTGCTGAAGACTAAATGGGCAGCAGAGGAGGATGGGCGCCCCGGTATTAAGTTTTCAAGAGGGAGCACTCCCCCACCATTAGACGATGTTCTGCCGCGCCCGGTGAAGTACGTTCGTCACCAGCAAGACTTTACTTGGCATCCACATTTATACACACGCGCACGGCTGAACCGCACGCTCACGACAGAGGTGAACACAGGTGCATTACACGCGTGAGTACATGGCACGCAAAGCACACACACGCGCAGTTGATATATATACACACACAGCTTTATACACTTGCATGCGTGTGTGCGTACGTGTATACATAGATGTCTTTGTTTTTACTAGAACCAGCATGATGTAAAAATTGAGTGCCATTCCACAGATAAGAAACTCCTTTTAATGGTCTATAAAAAGTCCCTCTTTGTAAACGAGAGCCCTCACCGATATGACAATGATGATGACCGATGAACCACGGCCGGATTAAATGTCTCTCTTTGACGGTGCCAGATTCACGGCGCTGTCGGTTCCAACGGGGCGCCCGCCGCACGAGGCGACTTCGCAGCCACCGCTCGCATCTCCTCCCCACGGTTTGCACCACGTGATGCGGGGTACGGGGGCCTTCCTCCAGCAACGGAGTTGACCAAGGGCAGCGAGAGGCTTTGCCCAGAGCAGCGGGGGAGGCTGCCCGCACACCCGCACACCGTGTAGCGATGTTCACCAATGGGCACGGGTGTCTTGGGACTGGCACCCGAGCGGCAATCGGCTTTCAGAACAACATACATACAAACAAATAAATAACGTACAGCCCTATTGTCGATCCGCTGCTGGATGAAAGCCTCCCCCCCGCAACAGAGTGGGTCATGGGGGTTGTTTGTCCGTACTTCACCACGCTGGTCAGTGTGGGTTGGCGTAGGGGCGGGGGGTAGGAGCCAGGACCGATTGTGATATTACTCGCCACCGATGTTAGCCGTGGCCGTGAATCAGGCTCGGTTGGGTGGGTTCATCGTGCAGTGTGCCAAACGCCGCGCCACTGCTAGATTCACGTCGACGCACGCCGAGGGTGCAGAGTAGGGGGAGGGGGTCCGTGGGTGGATGTCTTGTGACGTCTACTGTGGAAGTGCACAATCGGTACGTTTGCATGAATTTTTCAGAGAACTCCTCCGAGACCCGCTCCACCAAATTCAATGAATGATGCGTCATTTGAAAGCCTGCGATGTTTAAGTTTATCCAGCGGATGACAATGTAAAAAAAAATTCTCTTTGACCAGACAATTTCGCTTATCGGCCCCGGCGATGCCCATCTGCTCGATACCAATTACAAACGCCCGGTGCGTGAAGCAGCTCCATTTCAAAATCACACATGGGATAGGCGTTGTGGCGTTAATGTAGGGAGTGTGTGGGGGTTGGCGGAGCTGTCAATGTTAATGGGCTTCCCTCCATCGTATAAATGGCGGGAGGCGAGTATCAGCCAAGCCGATGAACGGCGATGGTCGCACGAGCGCCGAGTCGCTCTGCCCGTCGTGTTTTATTCGTGAGAGGGCGCCCACCCGCAGTGTCGCTGGAGGCGAGAGAAGAGACGAGGACGGGGAGAGGTGAGCACTGGCAAATCACCTGCACGGCAGGGTAGGTCTTGGTGCTGGTATCGCTGCGCTCGCCGAAGATGCTGCCCGTGGCGCGGCCCTCGCACTGGTAGCGGAAGCGCATGCCCCGTTGCTTGGGCTCCTCCACGATAACCAGGGCCGGATCTGGGAGACACGGTGAGAGGAGAGCGGCATGGCCGCGATCACCACACGCAACACAACGCCCCGTGGCAGCGATGCATCAACGTCGCTCGACATCGGAGACCTGATAACAGATTTTTAATCGGTGGCTGGGATGTGTTAACTACCTCGCCCGGTATTCAGGAGGTCGTGGGTTCAATCCCCACCCTGATGCTTGCTGCTGTGCGTTTGGACTTTGAATGTCTCTCTCCCCATGATTGCGGGGATTTTTCTCCGGGTTCTCCAGTTTTCCCCTCGACATTTAGAATCAACGTGACACGTTTAGAGTATTTGGCTGCTTTACATTTCTACATAAGCCACTTCGTCGAGCTATGTAGTACAGTGGGCCCTATATGTTAGTTTAGTTTAAATGGAATTAGACGTTGTTTGCGGTTGAACACCAGCTCGACGTTCTCAATGGCGATTGTGCCATCACTAAGCAGGCAATGTCACAATTCATCCCCCAGGCGAGTAAATCAATCGTCACAAATAGACAAAATTCCAGAAGACTATTTGTTGTCTTGTCTTTTGTGCCCCGTTATTTGTAAATCGAAGCTAAATGTTACCCTCAGTATATCGTTTACAAATGAGATGCACAAATAGTCATCAATTCTCACTCGAGTCGGACAGCCGCAGTAGGCCCGGCATGGCTCACACACACACACTCGCACCTTAAAATCCATCACTGTCCCCTCCTATGCTCCCACACCTATGCTGCCCTCCATCACCAACCCGCTCGGGCCAGCGAATTGAAGCACGGTCAAATAACTCGCACGACCAGCACGGCATGGGGAAGCCATCATCCAGCAGTGGATTGACAAAGGGGCTGTGCATTTACTGTGCTTGCAGCGCCGAATTAAAGCTCAGCAGCTGCTGCTTCTGCACTTTAAGACTCCGCGAGCCGCGAGGTTACTGCATCTCAAAGCGCCTCGACATTGGGCGGTAGAGAAGGTGCGAGAGAGGTTCCTCCTTCCACTTCTTCGCAGGAGGAAGCTGCGGTGGAGTCGCCTCGTGTGGCCCCGGCGTGGTTTACGAGCCGGTTTATCGCTCCAGGCGCCGTGCGAGCGGTCGTTAATCGCGTGTCAAGCGACCCGGTGGTACGCGCCCGCGTCAACGGCGCTCTACCAGAAACAATTCATATTCTCATTATTGTGGTTGTTGCCAAGCGGCGACGAGTAGATTCTCGTACGCCGCGCACGCAGCCGTGCGTCTTCTGCTCTGGGTAAACCCGCATCGCCACCAGCAAGAGAGTTCGTGTAGTCGGTAAAGTCAACATCTTGTCCCACTAACGTGGTTACGCGTGTACTGTACTGTCGTGCAGATGCAACACCAACAGAGGAGCATTTTCCAATAAATTACACGCGTTGAAATGAACAGCAGTTATTGCAGTAATCCATTGTGCGCTATTTTTTATTTCATGTATTGAACATGTTTTCACCAAGCGACTTTGAATGTGGGGTTGGTGGATCGCGCTGATACCATCCGATGCTTTAAGCGCTCGTATCAACACTTGCTAAGTTAGACCCAGTGAACAAATGCAGCGGGAAAAACCACAGCTCCGAAAAAATCGTGCAGCAAATCAGTTTAACCGATCGGCTCCCTAAGCAAGCTCTTGTCCCCTCTCTCACCGACCTCCAAGCTCGCTACCGCATCCCACGAGCCCCACAAATCAGCACTTGCTTTGTGGCGGCGGGGGTGTTTTTCAGATCAGCGGTGGTTTTCACTTCCAAGTGAAAAAAGTGCCATCTTTATGAACTCCACATCCTCAAGTCAGATGCCCGTTTTATATGGTTCCATCACCATTGACTTGTCACAATGCATTTATTTTATCGACACCAAAGTGATGATGGGGTGACTCGATCCCCGCCTCCCTCTTCTCATCAGTCAGGCGTCACGCCAAAACCGAAGCGCCGTCTGGACAAATATATTGCGAGCTCATTACGCTGGCCAGATTGTCTCCCGCAGTGACAACAGCCCCCCCCCCCCCCCTGTTAGAGCGGCAGTAGCGCACGTGCAGCAGCAACAAGAAGGCTGTAGGAAAAAGTAGAGAGTCTCATTTCCTAACCGTCACGCAGGGATTCCCGGAGGAGTCCGCGAGCCGGACGTCACGGGCCCTGTGGTGCCCGGGGCCACGTAAGGCTGCGTGGGCGCTGCTTGGGCCGCTGCTGCCGCCCACGCCACACAAACACGGGCTGCTCAAGAGGAACTGGAGATGAGTTTCTTTCTCGGAAAATGTGTTCCAGGTATTCGTCGGCGTATCTCAGCCCTCGCTGACGCTGCATCTGTATGCGCGCGAACTCTTCTGCCTGCACCCAATCCTGACCCGACCGGCGCCGACTGCTTGCTTAAGAACGAGCCATATGTTTTCTTGCTATCAAAATACCGAATTGTGCTTGGCTTGGGATTGAATTAAGGTTAGGATTGTAATTAAGCACGTGCGAGGGTTTATACTTGGATAATTGCTCATTCATTCATTCACGGTTGTGGGTCAGCTGAGACGCTGATTCAAAATACGATGTAAATTACGCCCCCTTACTACCGACTGGTCAAACAATAAGCCTCGCCGATGCTCAAACACACAGTTCATCTTGAATCCCGACCCACACGAGACCCTCGTTTACCCAGCTCACCTCTTCCGCTCGAGTCCCATCGTCGACAATAGAACGCCCTCTACTCGGAATCGTTCCTTCTCAGAAAAGGAACGCTCTTCACAGGAAGCGCTCAGAGGTGGGGAGCGCGCAGGGGCTGCACATCACTTCCCAGCTCGCCGCTCGGCCATCTCACACGGGAATGCCCCGAGGTCAAAGTCGACACCGTGGAAACGGCTTCTCGTAGCTCCTTACAACTGGCGGCGCTTCCGCTGCCCTTACGGGATGCGGGGGACGCCGAAAGGAGAAGGAGAGGGCACGCGCTGGCTCACCCGGGGCGAACCCCCCCCCCCGCCGCCCCGTCAGGATGGGGAAGAGAAGTGAGGAGTGCGGCGCTGAGACATCCGAGCACAGCGGCCGCATTGAAGCCTCCCCGCCGGAGTGGCGCGCCGAGATTAAGTTCCCAGCAGAGAGGAAGTAGAACTCTCCATGCGCTCGCGGGGTTCCAGAGACCCACAACCACAACGTGCAAACAGCGCGACAGCCCGCGGGTCGAGGCGGTCAAGGCGCTGGGTTAGGCAGAGGGCTAAGGACATTTCCAGGGCCCATTCCAACCACTGCGACCAACACCGTGTTTTCCTGGCAGTGGCACGGATTTTCCAACACTGAACAACAACAACAGATGCACCTGCTCCATGTGGGGAGTGATGACTTGCACTACAAGTAGACTGCCACACAGACAATGATGAATACCTAGTCGGTAGCAATCAGCTCGTGTGTGGCACTTGATGATTCGCTGCATCATTTGGCTGCGAGAGATGGTCACGGCTTTGGGATACCTTCATGACCGATGATGACCATGATCATCCTGTCACCACTGGGGAGCCTCATCCAATCCTGAACTCTACCCCACTGGCATTATGCAAAGCCTCCGCAGATGCTGCCAGCATCTTTGCACATCGGTTGAGGGATTCTGCTCAGGCACAGTGAGCAACACGTAAGGGGCTGCTTTTGATTTGAAGCTGCTCTTGCCCAAGACGTGGGTGCTCGGCTCTGTCAGCGATGCGCCCTCAGAGCTGCGTGCCAAACGCTGTCCTCAGAGCCCATGGTGAATAGTGAAGACAACGCTGTCCAGGTAACAAGGCTGTCCAGGTAACAAGGCTGTCCAGGTAACAAGGCTGTCCAGGTAACAAGGCTGTCCAGGTAACAAAGCTATCCAGGTAACAAGGCTGTCCAGGTAACAAGGCTGTCCAGGTAACAAAGCTATCCAGGTAACAAAGCTATCCAGGTAACAAGGCTGTCCAGGTAACAAGGCTGTCCACTCAAACACCGCCGCCGCACTCTGTACGTCTTGTGCACAGAGACAAAGATCCCCCATATAGCCTTAACAGACTGTTGGGGCAAGTGCTGTTAGCGAGTAGCAGCTATGAAGGCCGGCACGGTACACGAGGGGGTGATTGGCCAGCACCACGCCCGACCGCCTTTGTCTCCCCAGTGACGATGTTTTTACACACTGCACCAGGTACTCATTTGAGGCTGAGTCGACCAAGGGGAGGTCCAGGTCCGATTCAGTTAATCGTCATTGGTGTTGGCCGCGAGCGGGAATCGAACTCGGGTCACCGGGTTCGTAGCGCAGCGTAGCGCTAACCGCTACACTACCGCACAAGACAAAAACAACACACATTTATACACAAACAACACATCTATACACACAAAACACATTCCCATTGGCACCCATACACACGCGACTCCTGAGTGCACACTATTCTACCACATCTTCCATTTTTCAATACCCCCCCCCCCCCCTTTACAGGTACACGACTTCTCATCCTCGATCGCACATGGACACCGGTGAAAAAGAGATTCATAGCTTATCGAAATAAAGATGCTCATTCTGATTTAAAGCTTTCGTGACTGCAAGGATTCATCTGCTTGGTTCTTTCGGTAAAGTCACGTAGAATGTCTTATTTTGTTTTATTGTTTTATTCTCATTCTACGTGACTTTACCGAAAGAACCAAGAAGATGCTCATTCTGATCACACACACGTGTATGTGTGTACCTGTGCTGCACACATACACACACACACCTGTATGTGTGTGTGTGTGTACCTGTGCTGCACAGGTAACCGAACCGGGTGAGCACCCGGCGGCCTGCTACCAACTGGAGTCCCAACTGGAGTCCCAACCACAGTCCCAACTGGAGTCCCAACCACAGTCCAAACTGGAGTCCCAACCACAGTCCCAACTGGATTCCCAACCACAGTCCCAACTGGAGTTCCAACCACAGTCCCAACTGGATTCCCAACCATAGTCCCAACTGGAGTCCCAACCACAGTCCCAACTGGATTCCCAACCACAGTCCCAACTGGAGTCCCAACCACAGTCCCAACTGGAGTCCCAACCACAGTCCCAACTGGAGTCCCAACCACAGTCCCAACTGGAGTCCCAACTGTTGTCCCAACCGCAGTCCCAACTGTTGTCCCAACCACAGTCCCAACTGTTGTCCCAACCGCAGTCCCAACTGTTGTCCCAACCGCAGTCCCAACTGGAGTCCCAACCAAAGTCCCAACTGTTGTCCCAACCACAGTCCCAACTGGAGTCCCAACCACAGTCCCAACTGTTGTCCCAACCGCAGTCCCAACTGGAGTCCCAATCACAGTCCCAACTGTTGTCCCAACCACAGTCCCAACTGTTGTCCCAACCACAGTCCCAACTGTTGTCCCAACCGCAGTCCCAACTGGAGTCCCAATCACAGTCCCAACTGTTGTCCCAACCACAGTCCCAACTGTTGTCCCAACCACAGTCCCAACTGTTGTCCCAACCACAGTCCCAACTGGAGTCCCAACCACAGTCCAAACTGGGGTCTCAACCACAGTCCCAACTGTTGTCCCAACCGCAGTCCCAACTGGAGTCCCAACCACAGTCCCAACTGTTGTCCCAACCACAGTCCAAACTGTTGTCCCAACCACAGTCCAAACTGGGGTCTCAACCACAGTCCCAACTGGAGTCCCAACCACAGTCCCAACTGTTGTCCCAACCACAGTCCAAACTGGGGTCTCAACCACAGTCCAAACTGGAGTCCCAACCACAGTCCCAACTGGAGTCCCAACCACAATCCCAACTGGAGTCCCAACCACAGTCCCAACTGGAGTCCCAACCACAGTCCCGCACGACGGAGGCCACGCGGGGAGAACGGTGGGGGGGGGGGCACAGCGCCGCCACCAACGCGGAACAAACGGAGCAACAACTTCTGTCAGCAAAACACGGCGCTCGCTCGGCACGCAGGGACAACGCGTGCGTGCCACGTGCGTGCTCCAAGCAGCATCACAACAACCTGGCCACGTGCACCACAGCCCTTCCACCTGCAGTCCGCTCATGCACGACGGCATCATCGTGATGGTTGCTCGGCCACACTTCACTACGCTCGCTCAGGGAGGGTTGGTGAAGGAGGAGGGTAGGGAACGTTTGAGGTGCAGTACAACACTGACTTTGTGCTAGCGCTGTCGCATCCACTCATTGCCAACAGCAAGCAGCCTATAGCACCTGTTATTCACAGGGCCTAGCCGTGCCAAGTGCTATCCAGGCTGGCTCGCTCTTGATTTTAGCTTCCGAGATCGCACCGGTGATGTCGGCTTAGTGCATTAACGGGCCAGATATAAATTTTGATTTAAAGTTTTCGTGACTGCAGGGATTCATATTATTGGTTCTTTCGGTAAAGTCACGTAGAAGGGAAACAATAAAATAATACAAACATAAAACAATAAAATTCTCACGACGTTTCGACTGCAACACAATCATGATATAGTTGCGTTCAACATAGCAACTGGGGTAACATTTGCAATAATAATTATAATCACTTGAATCAAATATACAGTGCCAATAGGGATCTTCCCTGGTTTAAATTAATAGTCTCGTGATATCCGAAACAAACACTTAAACAATGAAAATATAGTACATTATATATTTTTAATATTAACGCACCTATACGTTTACAATTTCCGATATGTCTGCACAGCAATTAGTACTCTACTTATAGTAATAGGTTTTACCCTTTTAACTGGCACAAAAAACTGACACCTTTATTCAAGGCATCATGTCTGCAATAACCACAACACAAGCAGTCAGAATGCAAACAAAAAGACAACTCTGATAATAATTGCAGACATGATGCCTTGAATAAAGGTGTCAGTTAAAAGGGTAAAACCTATTACTATATCTTGTTACTGGCAAAGGAGGTCTCATAATGTAAATACTCTACTTATATTGATTAAAGTCAACTTAATCTATACGATGTAACTAAAGCAACAGCATTATCAGCAATGCATCCGCGTTCCTCTAAAAGCTCAGCACCGTATCGAAGACTCACCGAAGCGGCGATATTCCATTGTGATGGACAATGCCCCTAGCACAAATATCTTATCGATGTTAATGCGATATTGGAAGCGGAGTGCAGCAGCTACCGACCGCCGTAACAGCAGCAGCAGCCTCCTCTTTCCAGCTGCCTCTCGCGAACCACGCGCGCTCGCGGCCGTTTTATAGACTACGTGACGTCACTGAGGTTCCCGCACCCCCTCCCCGCCCACCTCTAGACACTACGTCAACCAATCAACAGCGAGAACGCGAGACCTGCCCGATCGTCGATTGGTCGACGGCGGCGTGGCAGGGCGGAGCTTTCGGCCGTGGGCGGGCGGACGTCACGAGGCGCGTGAGGCCTCGCTTGTTTCGGGGGGAGGGGGCGTGGGTGGGATAGACCACCCCCTCCCCCTCTCTCCCGGCGGGGAGGGGGGAACAATAAAATGAATCAATCACTTTGACATTTCAGTGGTTTTAAGGGGGAATTTTCGCTCGTTACGAGTTACGTTATGAAAAACACCACCAATAAAAACACGTTAAAATAAGAACTCGGCGATATCATTTTTTAAACTACCCTAGCTGTTGAAAGTGAACGCAATGACGCAAGTGACCAGGTACGGGTTGCCCCCCCCCGACGCTGCCGTGCCAGTTGGTTGCGCTCACGTGGGGGGCGGGGGGCGCGCGTGGCGCCGGAAGGGGGCCCCGGCTGATGGAGTGAATCAGAATGTTTATTGATGCTGGAGGAATCCGATGAGCTTTAAAGCTCTTTTTCACGAATGACCAGCAAGAGAGTGGGGGGGGGGGGGCAGAAAGTTACAACAACAAAGAATACTAAAACACGATAGGAGTGCAAAGTGTAGGGGAAGGTAAGAAAAGCACTAAAAAATGTTTATTTAACCAGGTAAAGTCCACTATTGGCTTCTTTTTCAGAAGCCATCTGGCCACAAATGGTAGCTCAACGAATTGGCTTATCACGTGGAGATGTCGAGCGCTGCCCAGGTTCACGCACCCACGTGGGCTGGGACATCACCAACACGATGTCGCTGCGATGAATTAGGGATTCTGGACGCCGGTCAAGCAAAATAACGGAGTGGAAGCCCACGGAGTGGAACGCGCGTGCAGGGTGATCGTTACATCGCAGAATCGTGACGGATGGCGGCGGCTTGGGGAGGTATTCATCCAGCAGTGGATTGACCATGGCTGATGATGAACACCTTTCTAGTGAGCTAAGAATGATAACGTTTTGGTGATTGATGCATCACAGTAATGATGATGATGTTGGAGGAGGAGGATGATGACGGCGATGACAACGGGCGACGTCCCCCGAGGAGACGGAGCATAGAGATCCTGGTCCAGCCGAATGTGTTTGTGTAAGCAGGATCACGAGACCACGCTAAGTCTCTTTCGCAAGGAAGACCTGGGTCAACAAAACTGCAAAATGCAAAGCAAATAGAATTGAGGAACGCAGTGAAGAGAAATTCAACAACTGTCGCACTTGTTTGGATGGGTGATGGGTGGACTCTTGTATTGCAGGATTGTGAAAGGTGGAGGCGTCTTGGGGGAGGCCTTCACCCAGCAGTGGATCGACCATAGGTGACGGTGGCTGATGATGACCCACGTGTTCAGGAAGGCCGAGGGATGATGCCCTGCTCAAGTTAACATTGCGTTGCTCATCGCCTGCCTTGCAGTCCTAGGCCAGTGGTGGGAATGCAACGCGTGACTGTGATGGGTGTGTGGCAGTGGTTCTCAACCCTTGTTGGCAAAACGTCCCCCCGCCAAACCAAACCCACGGGCCCCCCGCGCCCCCCACACTCCAGCCGCGGCACACCCTCGCCCGGGTTACTCGTGCCAAAGAACACATATCACATGTCCACGACTCGCGTTGACACGCTGGCAGGCAGGCGATGCGTGTAATGCCGTGCATTCGTGTGTTTGTCTGCGTGAGCACGACATCTTTGTCTTGATTGTGGACGGTGTTCGTGTTTATATCGCCGAAGGTGCGGTGCAGACGTTTCCTGTGCGTTGGAAATGTCTCCTTGCACGGTATCCACGCCGCAGCACTGCAAACCCCTGCCCCCCCTTGCTGAAAGGCTTTCGCGCTGGACGGGGTGAGGAGTGTTGGTGTCGAGGCGACTGTGAAACAGGTCACGCAGAGCGTTCTGACACGTAAAGTTCCGCGAATGGTTGACGAGGGAAAATACCAAACCAACTTAGCAAACTAAATCATTACTACACGCGAGCACTCTCCCCCCCACGCACACTCGCTCCAGCGAGACTGCGAGCCCGCGCCTGGTAACGAGAAACCGAACGTCGTGTCGTGGGAATTTCCCAACAATGCCCGATTTATATCGTGCATATTTGCTACGTAATATGAAGGACATTGACCAAAATGATTTTTCTAGGATCGTCTCGTGCCAACACGATGCTGCTGCACGCCTCGACCAGTGCATGAAAGGCTCCGCAGCTGTTCACAAAGGGACGTGTTATTGTGTCTCTATCTGATGGCAGAAGTCTCTTTGTGTTGTTCGTGAACGCCTGTTGGAATGTACGACTAAAACCAATGTGCAGGATGAGTCTGTTCACGGACCGATGTCTTCAGACAGTATATAGTATAGAGTACTGCGACCCCTGGAGTTATTTTGCATTGAAAAGAGTTCGTCAATAGAATCCCGATGCAATAGAGTGGCAGACACCAGATTCTAAACGGGCGATTGATTCGGTGGAAAATGAAGCTGTCATTCAAACTCTCGATCCAAAGCCAAGCAAATGAAGAGAGATACAATTAAATAAAAACAGCCATCCAAACCATGTTGAAAGTATGGATCGCACTGCGATGATATGGCACGGAGGATAGCTATATATTTCATAAGAACAATCGGACAAAGAGATACAATGCTACCAAGGTTGCTGATGTTCGCAAATAGTTTTCGGAAAGATTAAGTTGTAAATATATTAAAGGCATACCTTCAGAAATTATCAGCCAAAACAGTTTTGCTGATGACAATCGTTGTAATGTGGCCCAAGAAACTCAGATAAAATCATTTGACACTTCCACATACGACATTTGAAATTGAAACGTGCATCCAAACAACTCCGCGAAGATGCACAGAGAGGTGCACGTTTGAAATTACACCGAGCGATACAAAAGAGGAACACGTGGATTCGGGAACAAACGCACATCGGGAAGATCACAATGACTTAAGAGAAGTGGGCTTCGGTAGATGATATCTCGAGTAGGAATGCTGGCTGCTCAGAATTAGAATCTTCATCTTTCCTGGATACATCCGATGAGCTCTGAAGCTCTTTTTCACCTGATGTCCAGTAGGGGCGGTGAAGTAATGACAACCAAAGAATGAGACCAGGTCACGTGCAGGAGCAAGAAGGTTTGTGGCATCGCAGTGGATAGTCCATGGCTCACAAATTATATGTATTTAGAACCTAATGGGTTCACGTGACATTCTGAAGTCACGTTTAACATTAACCGCAATGTTTATAAATAATAAACACTTTAGTTGAATGGTGACCCACAATCACGATGTGAAATTGAATCGCAGTAGGGGGCCAGGCGGGCTTTGGGACAGAGCCTGTAAATTGTTTCACCTCTACAGTTGAAGAAAGCATTTTAATTTCAGATAACCTCACCGCTGTATTGTTGGAACCCGGGGGCAGACCGAGACTACGATATGATGATACACGTTTCCCAAGTTGCCCATGTTAGGTCGGTTTGATAAGGGAAACGCAACCGCTGGTTGGGTGCCAAATCATTTGCATTGATAATTTGCATCAGATTGTACCTGCCACGGTCTTGGAAACACCTGGATGAGACTACTTGGAGGACACAATTAGGAGGATATTTTGTGGAGCTAGGCTGCACGTGGTGAACACAGTTAAATCGCTTGTTGACGGAACGTTCGTTGAGCCTCTGGTACACTTGCGTTAAGATCCTGGGAACACTATTTATTCTTCTTATCTTATTATCATGCCATAATTATTTTTCTGGGCACAATAACATTCTCGACACATTTGTTAAGGTCCTCGGCAAAACACGGAAACACACAGCAGTCATTTAAAAAAAGACTTGTTTTACTGGCGATGCAGATGCTGTAGTTATTATGTTCATCGAGTATTTGCATGAACTAGGAGTTTCAAGGGAACAATCGTAGAACTTAGTCGACACATCGGTTACTGGGATGAGATTAGCAGCATTATCATCTCACTCGACTGAAGAACCCGGTTTACCCACGCCTGACTGAAACCAGGATTCAAAGCCAGGAAGTCCGAAGTGCCAGCTCACTCGGCGTATGTGACCCGTCTGCTTTGTATTGAAACAACACGCGTGGACATTTCAAATCGTGGGTTGATGAGCACTCCAGGAGGTGAGGTTTTACCTGCGTTAAGTTGCACGCACACCAAGAGAAACGTTATAGCGATTGCCTTGAAGTGAGCACGGGGTTAACCACCTCATCGGATTCGGGGTTTTCCACTGCTCGGGCATTCGTGACCCAGATTACCGCAAAGCAAATAACCTTGCTTTTTACTTCAATATTTCGCCACTTTGCGCACAGCCCAACGACTAAACCCGAGTGTCAGCAAACCCTCGCACGTTCAACTGTGTTGACTGCAGCTCGTCTGAGTGAACTCTTTTTGGGAAATCTGGGCTTCACTGAACGCCGTAACTTCTAGCTTAACACAACGCCCGTTGCCGTGGGGTTTCCATAAAACCAGTCGCACTCACCGTTTCTGAAGGCGCAAAGCTGTTAAAGCGTCAATCTCTCCGCTGGCCATATTTGGTGTAGAGAATAAAAACCCTATGCCAGCCAGATCAGGATGCCATCCAAACATTGTCAGCTCTTGACTTTGGCCATTGCTGCGTACATCCGATGTTCCTGGGTATTTTTAAAATTTAACTTATCATTTTTCCTCCAGCAATTTTGAGAATATTTTAAGCTAAATTGACAAATCGCAGGAAAGATTATGCAAGTGGGGAAAAGTGACCTTTTATATTTCGCAAATATTCTGCATCAACATTGAGGGATATGGATTCTTCTCGCGAATTCCCTCGAACACTTCACACAGAAGTCACGTCAGGCTGACGACCTACGGGAGTTACTCTGCGTGTGTGTCGGTGTGTCTGTGTGAAACGTGGACCCCCTTAATGGAATATCTGGGCAAGGTCCCATCGGTG